AAAAAAAAAAAAAAAAGAATATTCCCGTCCTCCCAGCTGGCTCAGGAAATGGCACGCTCACCTCACCGGGTCTTCCTGTGAGCGTGTGTCACTGCCCTCACACAGAACTTTCAAGTCTCAGCAAGCAGAGAGCAACGCTGTTGGAAGGGGGGGCACCTGCTGAGCTACTAAAACCCAAGGAGGCCAGTTGCACCCTTGCCATCCCAGTGACCAGCAGGGACCCCCTGCCCACATCGTAAGCATGTCTTGCATAATTTAGCCTCTTTTTTGGTTAAGCATTACCCACAGCTGCCTGCTAGATGGAAAAATGGCCAACAAATCACAGGGCAGGTATGTGGCAGAGTAGAATTTCTCACTAACCAGCAGGATGTTGACCTTCGTTCTAACCAGCTGGGGGTGGGCAGCCATAAAAGTCACTTGCAGTGGGGATAGGGTTGCAATTCATCGCTCCATCCCGAAGCTACAGGTGCCGGGAAGCAGGGTTTTCTTGGATGATAAAACAATTGAATGTTTATCCAGCCGCCAGATCCTCTAAGCATGCAGTACAGGTCCAGTACAAGGGCTTTTTTTTTTTCTTTACAAAAGCCATGGCTTTTTTTTTTGTTTAGAGGAGCCATTTTTCTTTTCTTTTTTTTTTTTTTAATTAATTAATTTATTTATCCATCTATCCATTTATGTGTGTGTGGCAGCTGAGCCCACCAGGGGGCGGGCTGGCTGACATGTGGTGCTGGGGGATCGAACCGTGGTCCCTGTGCTTCAGCCAAGCTTGTTCCAAGTAGGTGCTTTAGACCACTGAGCCATCTCACCAGCCCCCCAAAAGCCATGTTTTTAAATGTGAAAAGTTTCTTCTGTTTCCCAATGCACTAAAGTGCCCTGTAGATTGCTCAGAAACGAAACAGACTTTAATGTCACTTAATATGTGGAACTTGCTGCTGGGGAGGATTAGGTTATTTAATTCACATACAGGTCCCAGGAGAAGCCTTTAATATGCTTATTGCATACTGGGACCCCAGAACGCTGGCTGCCGTGAGTGAGGCAGGGCAGCCAGTTCAGCATGACAGTGCCTGCTCAGCATGCTAGAGACTTGGCTTGCTCCTCGGCGCCTCTTCCAAAATTATGTGTGATTATGAGTCTTATTTTTAATGCCAAAGTATGATAAGACAAATGAACTGAGGCTGAGCGCAGACGGACCCAGGCAGCTTCAGGGCTGCAGAGCTGGGATGTAGGGACGCAGCATTCCTGAGGCCAGGCACCAAAGTTGTCCATGTGCCCGTTCTTGCCACCTCCTCCCACTAAGTTGAAAGAACTGGAAAATTCTAAATGTAAGTAGGAAATAAAATTGAAAATGGACTTCTTCCTTCTCCTTCATCACTCCAAAGTTTCCTGAGAGCCTGGCCACCCTGGCTAGCTGCTTCCCTGGCTGCCAGCAACCACTCTGCATGTGCCTCTCCTATGATTTCATATGAGTGAAATCATACAGCACGTGCCCATGTTTTCCTGTTTCATGCATGCTGTGCAATGTTTTTGAGATTATTCAGATAACTTCAGTTGTCTTTTCTTTTTCTTTTTTTCTGTACTGGGGATTGAATTCAGGGCCTTGCACTTGCCAGGCAAGAACTTATTGTCCTGAGCTATCTCCCCAGCCCCTGTCTTTTCTATTGCTGGGCAGTTTACTGTGGTGTGAAGGAGGCAGTTTGACCACTCCCCAGCTGCTGGATGTTCAGATAACCTCCAGTTTTGCACTGTCGTTAATCAAGCACTTATTATAAACAAGCATACACAAGGCTTTAAATGAACACTGGCTTTCATTTCTCTTGCATAGACCCGAGGAACGGCATCTCTGAATTATACAAGCATCCTAACCTTGTAGGAACCTGCCTAACTACTGCCCATGCAGTGCCCGAAGCCCAGTTGTTCAGCCTCTTTGCCAACACTTGCTACAGTCAGAAGTCTGGTCTGTGGTGCTCTGGGTGTTCGATGTAGTCTTCTTTTCTGCCTTCATTTTGCTGGACACTCAAGGGAGAAGGGCCAGAGGGTGGGACTCTGTACCCCGTCTTGTGGAAGGCGACAGTTGAAGGGTGATAATTCCATGGATTCAGGTCAGAGTACACACGGAAAACAGTACCTTTTGGAGGAGGAATGTACACTGGATTTATTTCAAAGCTCAGCTAAATGTTCAGGAATGGATCCTAGGGTCCTGAGTATGTTTACTTTATTGAGAAAATGCCAAATTCTCCTCCAATGGGACTGGGCCATTTTTGAACTTGCACGAAAAATGTATGAGAGTTCCCATTCCTCCTCATCCACACTAACACTTGTTATGTTGGTCTTTAATTTTACACTTTTCAGATTGTGTTTTAATAAAATCACTCTTCCCAGAGAAAAGAAAATCAGTAGAAAGGGCCAAGAGAGCAGGTAGGCAGCTTTAATAACAACCTAGGTGTGAAGTATTGAGAGAGAGGTGAAGAACATCTAGCCAATTTTCACATCCACAAACATAGGTGATTGGTCATCTTTTAAAATAATGCCATGGTACAGGGCTCGGTGGCACACTGCTGTAATCCCAGCACCCAGGAGGCTAAGACAGGAGGATCACCGGGAGTTTGGGGGTACCTAATGACTTCAAGTTCAACCTGAACTCTAGACCCTGTCTCAAAAAAACTGATAGATAAATAAATAAAACTGTGCACAAGGGCACAGTTAATTTAATGTACGTTGGCAGAGCTGCTGCTCTTGTCAGGCGCTGCATCAGACCTGGAGGCAGAACTACGAGCAGGGCTACCTCCCTGCAAAATGCCCATAACTTAATGAAGGAGTCACAGAAACTGACCATCATTTCAAGCCCAGTTTCCTTAGAGGTGTTCCTCTTAAGACTCTCACCTCTTGAACCTGTTTATTGGTAGCCTCTTGTAGAATGGGCCACAGCCACGCCAATGAGCAGCCACACAGCCAGCAGGGCCGTGGCTCTGCTGGACAAGAGGAAGTTCGCTGCACGGACTTTGCAAGGACACTGAGCCTAGTGTTTGTCTTGTGGGATCCTACAGGACATGGGGCTGAGTGCTCAGGCTCAGAGTGGGCTCCATCTTCTGCAGGCTCCAGGAGCCCCATGAGTAACTACTCAGAGCAGACTCAAAAAAAGTGTGCTGGTATGAAAGTGGCATGGTTTGGGAAATACGCCCTTCCACCACATGGCTCCCCGCTCACCAGATTTGTCAGGAAGCCAATCAGCTCTCAGCATTCCCGCAGAGAAAAATACTCATTTACTGGGAGAACAGAAAGTAGAGCTTTGGCTGAAGCCACTTTGCCTTCAACAGCAACTTTTTAATCCCTTTGTCTGTTGCATGAAATCAGTTCCCAGAACACAGAGGTTATTAATAACTGTGGGACCTCTTCCCAGTCCCCAGATCAATTGGCAGGCGCCTCTGGTTATTTCCTTCTGGATGTTTCTGTTGTCTCCTCCTTAAAACCCATAGAGATTTTTACCCAGCTTGAAAATTACGCAGCAGCCCATGCAACTCCCAACCTGCCAAACAATCCAGGAGTTGGCCTTGGCCCCTCATGACCCTTCTTGCACTCGGCGGTCTGAGTGCTGGCTGATGTCCCTGCATCCGCCGCAGTGCTACTGCTGTCTCCAGGGAAGTCGTCTCACCCCACCGGCTCCTCCCTGCCAAGTGCGGACCAGAGTGTTAATGGATCCATGGAGCCAGCCCAATTTAGAAGGAGGTCACTTTGAGCTCACTTCTGCTTGTGGTTGGTGGAGCCCCAGACTCAGCTGTAGGCAGTTAGGGAGCAAGACCGAGGCCTTAACTGGGGGAACTTGGGGTGGACACATCGGCTGCAATCAGCAGCTCCTGAGGCACAAGAGCGTCACTAGCACCTGTCTCTCCTCTGTTTGGGGGCCAGCCGATGCCCATGGCTTTACCAGACTAATGCAGGAAACTGCAGCTGTTGCGGTTCTCATGGGCTTCCTAAGCTTCAGATATCCCCCTGGCCACTGGCCATATCACAAGCAATTGTGCCCAGGCACCCTCAACCCAGCTGGGCACAGCGGGATGGCCAGGCCTGGGGTCCACTGCTGCCCCGCCCCCTCCCCCCCGCTGCCAGCGCACCTGGGAATGAAAGCGAGAACACTCCCTTTGGGGGCCGAGTGGGGGGCAGGGCAGCTCCAGCACAGGAGGTGCACACAGGACCACCCAGTGTGGTCCTCACACTGGGCAGTGCACACGGTCTCTTTTTCCATTCTTTTTTAATACTGCAGGCTGGGTAATTTTTAAGTGCAGCACCGGGAGCTGCCGTGGTCAACTGCGTCTCCTCATCGCCCTGCTGCTCCTCCTCTGCTTGTCCCATCAGGCTGCAGCATCATGCCTGTGGTCCTCACACTGGGCAGTGCACACGGTCTCTTTTTCCATTCTTTTTTAATTTCCCGCGTGGGAGTGCACTGTTCTTCTTTCTTTCTTTCTTTCTTTCTTTTTTAGTGCGCTGTTCTTGAAGGTACTGCAATACCAGGTCGATGCGTGTCGCAGACGGAGCAAGCAGCTATTCCACCTCACCACTCCAAAAACTCATTTAATGCATTGTCCTCGGATAGAAAATGTATCAGATATTAAAACGATTAAGAGCAGATGCTTGAGCTTAACCAAAAGGCCAGGAAACAATGCAACACTATTTCTGCTTGACCTAGTGTTTTTTAATTATGGTAACATGTAACTAACATTTACCATGTTAAGCATTTTGAAGTTCAGTGGCATTAAGTGCAGGCGCATTATGGCACCACCATCACCACCCCATTCAGCCGAAGAACTCCAAACTCCCAGGAAAGGCACAGGGCTCCTCCTGTCTCACCTGACCTGGCAGGAATGTCCCCCTCCTTAGAAGCGGCCCTGGACTCCCTGAACACCCACCCTACCCGCCTGTGCCAACAGCAGCGCTGGACTTGACTGACTTGCTAGCCCCCCTTCAGTCCCTGCCAACATAGGTGAATTCCTGGAAGGAAGAAAACAATCCGGTCTTCTTGGTGTGTCCCCAGGGCCAGCCTAGAGGAAGCCTCAGTGCGTGCTGGGAGTCAGAGGAGAGCGCAGCAGAATCTGTGGAATCTGTGCCTGCAGAAGGAAACTGGTCCTGCCCCGAGGCTGGCCCGCCTTCTCGGGGCCTCTCCACTCCCAGGAGGATGGGAAGTGGTTTACCTCATGGGCTGGCTGAGCAGACCCCGGTGTAAAGGAAGGCCAGTTGGTGCTTAACAAATGCGGGGGGGCCCCCTAGGCAAGTGAGTCCCCTAGGCAATTGTGGGGCTAGATATTAGGGTCTGTGAAACTTCCACACCAGGACAATAGGCCCGGGGTCCAGTGCTTGTCTTAAAGTAGTAAAGGAAGGGAGCCATGGCTTGGGGCCAGAACTTGCTTCTGGCTTCTCCCAGTGGGTAAGGGACAGGGGCAGTTAAATTGCTGCAGGGTCCGGGGACACCAGCCATGCTCAAGGATGCAGTGCCGTGGGTCTCAGATCCACCAAGCCCACCCTTGCTCCCTCTCTCTCAGACCCTGGGCAGGGCAGGGTGGCTCACAGTGAGGACAGCACAGTGCATTTAGTCCCTTGAGCCCGGCTCCATCATGCTCGCTTCTCAGGTGGCCCTGGGCGCTGACGGACACTGATTTAATGCCACCCTATGGAAAGCTTTTGCCTGCTTCCTTACTAGACAGGGAAACCAGAGACCTCAGCTCAAAAAGGAAGGCTGCTCCTCTATCCATTAGCCCATTGGTTAGAATATATTTATTAAATAACCATGAGATGGCAGCAGCCACTTTACTGGGGGGTACAACCTGTTTTTTAAAAATATATTTATATGGGTCGGGAAGATGGCTCAGTAGAATAAGTGCTTGCCTGGCAAGCGTAAGAGCCTGAGTTCAATCCTCGGTTCTGCCAAACAAACAAACAAACAAACAAAAATATTTATTTCTGAAGTTTTAGTCAACACATAGTAATTGGACATCTTTACAGGAACAACATAGTACTTTAATGCACACATAACAATCGTCTTAGGATAAGTGGCATGGTTTCATTTCAGACATTGTATCACTTCATTTTGTACAGAGTTGTAGCCAATCCTCTTGTGGCCACCATCCAAACCTCCCCTTGCTGGGTATTCCTGTTCCCAAAGGTACCTTCAGGACTCCCCACCTCCCAAGCCTGGTTTCCAGCTTTCTCTAGGGACTGCTAGGTCTGGTTCATTTTCTGTCACTATGAAAAAATACTGCAGGCTGGGTAATTTTTAAAGTAAGGAGGTTTTATTTCACTCTTGATTTTAGTGCCTAAAAGGGCCAAACCCCCTGGAGCAGGGCCCCCCTTACCTGCTCACTATAGGGAGGAGAAGCAGAGAGGGAGACAGCTGTATCGTTAAAGGTAGGTAGCTTTGATTTGCAACAACATGTTTTTGTGAGAACTGATTTCCTGACACCAGTATTAATCCTGTTGGCTGCTGTCCGCATGCATGACCTAGTTACATTCAGTCAGCTCTTTTCTTTCTTTTTGGGGGGTGGATGGGGAACAGTACAGGGGATTGAACTCAGGGCCTTTGCACTAAACAGTATCTCCAGGCCTTTTTTATTTTTGAGACAGGGTCTCACTAGGCGGCACAGGCTAGGCTCACACTTGCCATCCTTGGGCATGTGCTGCCACACCCAACTTCCCACCTCTTTCACATTCTACCACCTCAGCACCACCACACCCACACCACGCCCTGGGCACGTGGCTCTGGGGAGCGCCCTGCGACCCTGCGCAAGCCCCAGTAGCCAATCACCGTCTTTCATTTGCTGGCTTCCTACATTTCACGGCTGTCTGTGATACATTGCCCACCCCTGCCTCGGGCCTTCGTTTTTCTGGACCAGTGGTCACAAGCCACACTTTCCCCCATATCTTTGCCTGCGGGATGTATCCCTGCTTTGATCCTCTTGGCAGCTTTGAGTAATATTTCACGCAGAAAATAGAGTAAATTCTTATGTTGAATTTGTGGCATTCAATTTGAATTTCCTTCTGATTTAATTTTCTCTTTAAGTATTTTAATTTAATTAACCAGGATTTATGGAGTTTGGATAGTCTCATTTATAAAGTAGCATTCATTTATTTTAGGAATTGGGAAATAATATGAGAGTCTAGAAGGAAACATGACAGTCACACATCCGTTCAGCATTTAAGTAGCTGCTCTTGACATTTTTGTCCTGTGCCTCTACAGGGCCAGTGTAAGGTGACTGAGCCCGGGGTGCTACCTCCTGGGACCCCTGTGGTCTCAGAGGGAGAAGCAAGTTGTCGTGAAGCCAGGCCCCCACATGGTCCCATCTGCACGCAGCTGGCTTGCTTTGTTTCTTTCGCCTTCTGAGCATCAGAGACCCACAATGTCCTTGTTAGTACAGGAAAAATGGTGGCCTCTTTCCTGCCTCCTCGCAGTGATGCTAGCTCTGGCAGAGGCTGCAGTGGGTGGCGCTCGGCAGTTTGGCCTGGGCACCAAGCGTTCCTTGCTCGCTGACAGTGGTGTCTCGCATCTTCCCTTCTGTCTGCTCTTCTCCCCACAGCTGCCGGTTTTCTCTGGGTCTGCACTGGTGGTGCACACCCTGATGCCATTTACAAGCACAACCACAGGTCTGTCCTGCAGAGCCCGAGCGTAACAATGACAGGGGAATGTGGACATCCATGGGCAGGGATGTCCTCCAGGTCACGAGGGATCAGGCGAAGGCAGTCTGCAGTGACTCTCATGCCCATCCAGACTGCTCCCAGGGTCTCTCCTTATTTTCAGTCTTTTGGTGTCCACACCAGGGAGCTGTGAGCTGGGGAAGAGGTGATTTGTCCCTTTTAGGCCACCACACAAACTTACATGATTCACCACCCCAATCTTAGCCAGTGTTGGGGTTTTAGATTCAGAATAGAGTCCAAATGAGGGAAATGTTCACACCAACCATCAAAAATATAATATATATAAAATACATATATATATATATATATATGTATATATATATCCTTTCAACCTTCCACTCCAATAAATTGCAGACAATGTCACAAAGAATCATCAGTGAACAGAGGCACAGCCATTGCTATCTGTGTATACTCTGGCAAGTGCTTTTGAAAAGTAAGTTTGCAGTAAGACTCCAGAACCTTTCAAAAGGGTTGGTACCTTTTGGTCTAGTAATCTTAATTCTGAGACTCTAGCTGAAGGAAAGAATTCTAAGTATAATGGAATTTTTCTGCATGGAATTATCAACTACAGGGTTAGTAATAAAGTCAAAAACAGTAATAAAATCCAGGCATGGTGTTAAACACCTGTAACCCCAGCCCTCAGGAAGCTGAGGCAGGAGGATTGCCCTGAGTTCAAGGCCAGCCTGGGCTACACAGTGAAATCAAGACCAGCCTAACTACACAGCAAGACCTTGTCTCAAAAAATCAGAAACGAAATAAAATGGTAATGAAGCTAGGTACAGTGGTACATACCCTTAATTCTATTTGCTCAGGAGGCTGAGGCAGTAGGATTGTAAGCTGAAGGCCAGCCTGGGCAACTCTGTAAGACCCTGCCTCAGAATGAAAAGTGGGCCAGCCAAATAGCTCAGCAGACTGAAGTGCCTGCTTAGGCAGATGCCACGGCGCAGTAGTTCAATCCCAGGCGCCATGCGGGCCCTGCCCCCAGGGCGCACTGAGACAGCAATTGAGACTGGGGTAGGGGTGTGTGCCTGTAATCAGACTATGAGTGTGATCTATGTAGTGAGAGCCTGTAGACCTATACTAAGGAGAGAGAGAGAGAGAGAGAGAGAGAGAGAGAGAGAGAGAGAGAGAGAGAAACAAACAGAAGTAACTTTGCTAGGCATAGTGGTACATGCCTACAATCTCAGTGCTCTAAGAGGCTCAGGTAAGGAGGACTGCAAGTTTGAACCTAGCCTAGCCAAATTAATGAGACTGTGTAAAAAAATTATCTGTCTGTCTCAGTTACTTTTCACTCGTTGCTGGGACAAAATACCCAAAACCCAAAATTAAGGTAGAAAAGGTTTATTTAGCTCACAGTTTGTGGAGCTTTCAGGCTATACTCGGCTGGCTCCCAGGCAGAGTGGCACGTGGCAGAGGGCAGCAGTTCATGGTGGTGGAAAACAGTGAAGAGCCAAGGGAAGGGCAGCAGCTGTGGCTCCTAGTCAGCCTCTCTCCTTTCCTTATATTGTAAACAAGCTCCCCTGGGCTGGGGGTGTAGAACACACACACCATCCATGCCTTCCTCTTGACAGGATGAGGATGTTCACAAATTAAGAATCCTGGCCCCCTGCTGAGTCACTTAATTAAACTTCTAAACTTCTCAAGTTGACACAATGTATCAACCAGTACTCTATCTATCTATCTATCTATCTATCTATCTATCTATCTATCTATTTTTGTAGGTACAATAAATTTGATTGATTTTATTACACATCTTAGTTTAGAATTACTTTTACATTCCCAGACAAAGAAGTGATACAAATAAATATCAATTGTAAAACTTAGAACCCCTAGTATTGGCATATTCTTTGTCTAAAAGTAGCTAAAGGGGCTGGAGAGATGGCTCAGTGGTCTAAAGCACCTACTTGAAACAAGCTTGGCAAAGCACAGGGACCGCGGTTCGATCCCCAGCACCACATGCCAGCCAGACCCGCCCCCTG